CTATAAATCACAGTGATTCACACACTTTACTTTAGGTACCTACTGTTCGCTTGACTCAATTATGTCTATCTTCAATCTATCTGCCTATCTATTCTTTATTTGCCGGGCTTATATACTAACAAAAAAGCGCCTTGAACAAACTAGAGTTGCCAGGAAAATTCATGATCCTTCGAGAAACTCCAGCGCGCATGCTCCCAGCGTCGCGTGACTTCCGCTGTCGTAACAATACATTTATAGACACGTTTTTGGTTCACAAGTTGGAATAACTATTAAATTTCTTCGGTGTGTTTTATAAAAACTGTTTTAAACTCGAGTACTACTAGTGATGACAATCATTCGTATTACAGCTAATTTTTCTAACATTCAACTTTGAATGTGATAAAAGCTAGCATAAAAAATTGATTCGTTTTATTTGTTGTATAAATTTATCTCTGCGATTGAAAAAAAAAACGTGTGAGATTTGTTATAACTTGTACAACAGATCACAATTACTTTACAAAATATTGTTTTAGTTTAATGAAACATAAATAAAAGGGAACCGTTTTAGACGTTGAAATAAGGAAAATATTCAATTCACAAAGACATCATGATCTATTTAATTTAATTTATTGGTTCTTACTGATGGTGCAAGTCTAGTTTACTGAATCCTTTTGCTACTAGAACTAACACCATTCACCCAGTCGTGTTAATTAATTAACGAACTCGAGCTTGCTGCGTAGTTCCAGTTAATAAAAAAGAAAATTGGTTTCTGTTTATATATTGTACATTTACTTATTCAGTTGTGAAGAGTGAAGTTATGTATTTTAATACACCAAACCGCTTCAATATAACGATTCCACTCCAGTGTAGGAATGACTTTATTGCTTAAGGGTTTCTGACTGGGTATGTTAAGCCATTAATGCAGACTAATTAGCAGTATAAATAATATACACTTATGAGTCTTTAAAGAATAACTTAGTAAAGGTTTTTCTGTCGTACAGTTAACAGTTAACGTTCATCATAATGAAAGTGTGTGTCATAGGAAAATTGTTTTCAGGTTGACAAAATCCTTCAGATTAAAAGTATGAATCGTAGGAATTAATTAATAAAATAAAAGTGTATACACTGAAAAAACAAGTGGTAACTAAAATTTAATATTTTGGCACTGACAAGACAAAAACCACAGCTATAAAATAATACTAATCACTCCATTCTGAATATGTACTGTTATGAGAGTCAAACATCTGATCTATCATATGATCTGAAGCGTAAGCTATTCATCATTCAGCCTGTACTCATAAAACTTTTAGTGAAGGCGGCTTATATATCTTCGCATTTCTTGAAAATTATCTTCGTATGTATACAAGTTAACGTGCCCAATGTGCAACGAACAATATATTGAATCAACCAATAGAAAACTCTGTAGTTCAATAAAAGAACACTGATGCTAACACTTACAATACCAATAGTGTTAGCAACCGCTGGCTAAGTGAATGTGATGTTGCGCCTATCTACAGTTTTTCTTTTTTTTTCCGAGTCAGTCTTCATTCTCGGAAAGAATTCCAGTTTAAAATGCTGTAATATGTTGTTATCAAGCTAAAAAACAACCACTTGTATCCAGAAGATGAGCATGTATTTTCATTTGTGAAAACGCTAGGAAAAGGAAACAAACTTTTGTCGTTGAATGTTTCACTTAAGTCTGATTACAGCGAACAACAAAGGAAGCTTAGTAGTGATGATATGGTTCTGAGGTATTCTCGACGATTCCTTTTTAAGGGCCGTTGTCTAGAGAGTCACCTAAGAGGAGGCGGCGTGTCTTCCAAGAGCATTCCACAAGTGCTCGAGAGGTTCGAAGTCTGGTGAGGGTGCAGGTCACGTGCTCCGTTTGATCAGTTTCCTTTTCTTAAGTTTACCTAATTCTAAGGGTATATACTGAAGAAAGGATCGTAGGATTTGGTATCTCTACGGTGTGTGTTGTCATTAACTGTATTGGTTCACGGGGTGAAAATTCTTCAAATGAGTCATTCATGTATGAAAATTGGTTTGAATACAGTTTCAAATTCTCTTTATATGAGCCTACGCCTATTATCTTTTCGCAGGGTGAATCGCGACTCTTATATAAAAGGAATATGATTAAACACACACACACACACATATGTATCGTCGATCCACCGGAAGTGTTCTTTGTACCAGTGCAAACGTACTGTATTGTGCTTTGCCGTGAGTACAATACACATCATTGTATGACTTACAACCCAGCCTTGTGAAGTATGTTTTAACCATATTTTATATACGGATGTCAGTTGTGGTTGTAAGTGCCTGTTGTAGTTGTGAAGCCATCTTTTGTTGCGGACAATTGTTTGAATAGATATCTAATCATGTTATTGACTTCACCCAAGTTATAAAAAAGACACTAATATAACATATTGGACTGGTCTTCTGAGTTAATGCCACTATTATTGCGTTCCTGAAGAGATCTTAATAATATAATATCACATACAAAAGAGCGATTTAATATATGTTATAGATGAGGAGAAATAATTGGTCAAAAATTTGTATTTTCCTCGTTGAGGTTGACTTTCCCAGGTTAACATAGGAACATGCTCGTTCATTGGGCAGGTTCTTTGAAAGTATTTGAAAATAATGCGAATCCGATCCACCTAACGATAACGAATTAGTTTATTTTCCATATAAAGTTTTTACAGGCTACG